ATTATTTTATTTTTAATCATAGCTCCTATATCGTGGTTAGAGATTTGGAATGTAATTGTGATATTAAAAATGCATTTAGAGAAGTCTACGGTTTTTACTGGTTTATCGAATAAACAATACCTAGACCATCACTGACGCACAATTGACTGATTGCCCCTGGATGTTGGCTTCTTACAGAAACACAGCTTCTCTATTATCAAATGTCACAGCATGCCACTGCTATGGATTGAACAGGTCTACAATTCTTACAGGCTGCAGTTCAGTCTTATCTAAGAAAGATACAGTATAATCAAGAAGACTCAAGCAGCTAAAGGAGTAACAAAAATCACATCTGAGAAATAAAGAACATTTAAGAGCTTATAATGAAACCTGAAACTGATCTGACGACAGAAGAACGGCAAGAAACTTGACGAGACATGTTTTCTTCTGAAAAAGAGGATTAATGCCAATATCTGCTATTAAAGATCTATTGAAGAAGTGGGAGGACATCACAACAATGATCTTAGAAAGGCATCCAAACCAGGCTGAGGTTAATAGGCTTGGGGATCTCTACAGTTACAATGTTATTAATTATTTCTGAAAAATCGTGAAGAAGAAAGAAAAGCAATTGACATTGGACAGATTCTTTAACTCCCACAAACGGAAAAAAACATGACTAATAAAAATGCAAGACTGTTTATATGTATTTTTATTATTACATATAAATAAACATAGTAAGAAAGTATATATTTTTTTATTTTTTGGGTCTACGGAACGAATTAATCAAATTTTCTAAAAAACGTATGGTAAATCGATAATCGGTTAACGAACAATACAAGTAGCGTACAAAGTCTTGGAACGGATTATGGTCATTAACCGATCACCCACTGTATTTAACTGTTCACATTGCAGTACAGTAATTTTATGATTGCACTGTAATATACTGTATAAAACTTATAACGAATATCTGTGTTACAATAAATGAGAATATAAACAGAATCCGTAGTTATGTAACGCTGTTGAAAAATTTTTTTTGGTATTTTATTAGAAACTCTTTAACTTAACAAAAATTAACTAAAACATTTTACGTACCAACGGGATTGTTATCCAAAAATGCTATCGGAGTTCGAATGATACAGCGAAACATATTGTTGTGAAGCTTGAAAGAAGCAATTGTAAAAAATTTGTATAACAAAAAACCAGAAGGTAACGACGTTAGAAATACAGCACATGTCAATCCTACATAAACATACATGTCGAAATATTTAGTATAGTAAAAATTTTTGTCTTTAATTTCCTTAAAAAAGCTTGTATTAGATGTCATATTTTCGAGATTCTCTTCATTTAGGCTATAGATTCTAATATCTTGCATCCTGAAAATATTAAATAAAAATTAAACTTTCTGGCATTTTTAAGATGTGTTTGATAGCAAAATACAACTAAACTAATTCAGACTGTTAAATAAAGGTGAAACTGTATATATAAATTATGTTGAAAATCTACCGAATAATAAAGTATTCAGTAGTTGGAATAAAACGGTATATATACATGAAATAATTTTAAAGAAAATATAAGCAGCGTCTTATAATTTATTTTGAAATTTATAGCTGTGATCGTCATCGTTATACGAATGACTTTAATGCAGATGAAAACCATCTTGGAATCATTGAGAAACATTGCCCATACTTTGATATATTCCTACCTGCTAAAAAATCAACGTTGAAATCTACTGCTACAAAGCTTGACAGTGGGACAAGATATCAAGTGAATCAGATAACTTTTTCTAATGTACTTAGTCTACCTGCCTTAATGATGCAGTACAGTAAAAACAAAACTGTTTGTTTGTTAATTTATGGCAACGCAACACTTAAGCGATCTGCCTAGGGGGAATGCCTTTCGGGAAATCGTTTTAAGGGAAACTGGCTCCTATTTAAGCGTTACAGCTGTGAGAAAACTCCTCGCCAACCTGTCTGAGCGAGGATCGAACCCACTACTGAACTCCCAGTGTTCAGGATACAAAGATAGTTTGACCAGTGGTGGGCTCGTAAAAATGCAATTATGTTTGATGTTTAGTGCAAAAATGTTTTAAATATTTTTATCATTCGAAAATATTATTTCAGTAAAGTACTGAAATAAATGTTTTTTCTGCTGACATTGAGTTTCAAGTTTAAATTTAAAAAATAAATTTATTTGTCTAGGATTTATAAATTATTTTATAGTAACTCTTTAAAAAATATGTATATATAAATACTTNTACATATAAATAAACATAGTAAGAAAGTATATATTTTTTTATTTTTTGGGTCTCCAGAATGAATTAATCAAATTCCTATAAAAACCTATGGTAAATTGATAATCAGTTAACGAACAATTTGGATAGCAAACAAAGTCTTGGAATGGATTATGTTCATTAACCGATCATCCACTTTATATAACAATAATGTAGATTTTGCTACAAAATTATTTGTTTTTCAGATTGTTTTCTGAGTAGTCCATGTAGTCTTTCTCCTGATTTGCAAATCCACCTTCTTCATGTTCTTGGTGCTATATTAAGTGGAGCACAGGTATGAACATTTTATTAAAATTTTTAAAATATATAAATATTATCGGAAAATAATTATTAAACATTGATTATTTGATACAGTAGACTTGTTTTATAATGTTTCTCAATTTAGTGATATAATAACTATTTTAGAATCACCATGATATAATAATTAATTTAGAAGATCCTGACTGATTTCCCATAAGCTTACACTTATACTGTTTGCTTTTTGTATGTAATGCTGTTTTGCTATTGATATAATGACTCTGTAAATAGTTAGAATCCTGTCAGAGCAACTTTTCTAACATTGAATCAGCAAATGTGCAAATAAAAATTAATCCCTCTTTTAGATAAAAATACGCCTTAACATTTAAAAATGTTTTTAAATAAAAATTACATAAATTGTATAAATAAATATAATTTTGATGATGAACTAAATGAGAAAAATTAAAATTTGTAAAAGTGAAAATTTTTTACAATTTCTTTCAACACTCAATGATAATTCCAATGATAATAAAGTTAATTCACATTCATAGAATCTAGTAACAGTTGTTTGATTATTTGATTTTTCATTTTTCTAACTCAACTGTCATTTAATTATTAAAAGCAAATTTATGTAGTGATATATTTTTACTTCTTAAATTATTTCAAATAATATAATTTTAAAAGATAGTTTTTTAAGTTTTGGAGTATATTTCTTATGTAGGTTATAGGAAATTATATGCTGTAATTGGCACAGATTCTAAACAGATTGTTGGAGAATGGGCATTATCTACTATAGGTCTAAGCTGTTGGCTCAGTTTATGGGTTTTACAAAGGGAAGAGCCTCCAGGTGTCAGGAGAGGGAGTGCAGGCATTTTCAGGCTAAATTTTCTTGCTAATTCAGATTGTGCAAAAGTGTTCACTTTATTTTGTAGCTTGCTGACATATTTTGTTCAATTTGAATACATTCTCTGGAATCAGTATAGTGTTCCAAGAGTTTGACAAATGTGGTTTCCTTTAATAATACAATGTTCCTACTTTTATGAGTCTTGAGTAACATATTACTTTTTTTGAGCAACTTCTGTCTTTTCACGATGTTATCCCATCCTTCTTTATCTTCCTCATTCCACAATGATTTTTTAATTAAGATTTTTTTAAAGCAATCCACATATCTTTACACTACATTGTGAGTCCACAGAATATATTCAAGTTGAATGTAAATATGTTGATAAGCTCCCAGAATAAAGTGAACACTTTTGCACAATCTAAGTTATAAAGAAAACTTGGCCTGAAACATGCCTGCACTTTCTCTCCTTATATCCAGAGGATCTTCACATTTACGAAAACCATAAACCAGCCAACAGCTTAGACAGATAGTAGACAAGGCTCATTTTCCAACAATTTGTTTAGAAAGAAAAATCCATCTGTTACTACAAGATTTTCTTAGAGGTTACCAATACAAAGTGGCCAATTCTGTGGACCTTACATCCAAGTTAAAATCAATTGAATTAACAAGAGTAGAGCAACTTTCACTGCTGGATTTTACTTTGTTGACTCTATCCTTCAATAAAACTTGAAACATGCTTTTGTGCACTAAGATATGCTTTATTTATTATAGTATAGGATACACAAATACCGTCAGAAGATCTTGAACTTACCACACTTAATATGCTTCTCCTCCTTTTTAGCATTAATTAAAACAATACAACACATGTACAGAGAATACCAATGACAAGCACTACCCTTATGTGAATTGGTTACATATTTTGTTGAACATAAGTCCTAAGAGGCTTCTTTTCAAGCATAAATTTGAACATAAGATATATAGACAACATTTTTATTATGAGCATATAAGAACAACTGTTGCTTAACCCTAGCTTTAGATCAGTCCAGCAATGCAAAAATCTACTACTTAGACCTAGAAATTGAGTTAATACTTGAGAAGATAATTACAAGAGTCTACTGCAAGCTAATGTATTAAGCTGTTTTCTTATCATCTGACTCCAACAACCCCAGGAGATACAAAACTGCAGCCTTTAGGCCCTTATAAACTGAACATATGCCTATTGCTCTCTTGTGGTAGACACTAAACAAGAAATAAGATATATTAGGGAAATAGCCTTCAAACATGGGTACAGCACAAATTTTATATCCAGCCTAATTTAAGATTTGAAAGCTAGGAGCAATAGATGCAACGAGATGAATAACAACATGAAGCAGAAAAAGGATAGTTCTAAACTATGAGCCTAGGCTACATAACTTGTACACAAAAATAGCAGCTCACATAAACCAAAAAGTAGCCTATACAAGTTTCCTTATACTAAATATGGAACCTGTTACCGGTGTAATTTTGCATGAAAAAAATCTTCCTTTCACAAACGTTTTCGAACTGTCGAGATAGCTCTTCTTCAGGTAGAGAAAAAATTCCGATGGAACACTTCGAAAAATGGAACGTAGATATTTAAATAAAAAATCGAATCTAAAAATAGAATGCAGATGTTTAAACAAAAAATCTGAAACTCGCATAAGACGTTCCTCCCAAACATCTTACTCTATAGGAGGTATGTGGACGACATCCTCATCATGTGGAAGACAATACCTGACATCTCAAATTTCGTACAAACTGTTAACGATAATCCCTACAGCCTAACGCTAGAAATGGAACAATCTAGCAATATTGAGGTCCACCTTTTTGATATAAACATTAAAGTAGAAGGATCCGCCATCATCACTTCAGTATACCGTAAACCTTATGCTGCCTCTATATACATACCGGTAGGTTCATCCGACCCATTCACCTACAAGGCTGCAGCATTTAATACTTTGATTAAAAGGGCCTTTTCCCACTCGTCCACCACGCAAGCCCTCAACACCGAATTGAATTACATCCGACCCATTCACCTACGAGGCTGCAGCATTTAATACTTTGATTAAAAGGGCCTTTTCCCACTCGTCCACCACGCAAGCCCTCAACACCGAATTGAATTATATCAAGAGGATAGCAGCCAAGCACGGTTACCATGGTCTAACACACCGTCTAATTGAGCGACATCAACACTCACAATACACACCCACTACGCGTACGAAGACCAATACTGACCATGATGAACATACACGCCTCCCAGTCACCTTTAACCCATACATTAAAGCAATATACACTGAGATCGCTGGAAAACAATTACAAATAGCCTATAGAAGATGCCCAACAATCTACGACATCCTCAGAAATGGCAAAGGCAGTCCGGTTCGTAGCAGGCTTCCTGGCGTGTACTTTATCCCGCTGAAAGATAACAGATGTAATGAGAACCTTGTCTATATCGGCTCAACCAAGCGATCTTTAAACACCAGAGTACAAGAGCATCAAGCAGACCTTCGGCATGGGTGGTACACCACGGCCCTAACCACCTTTGCATCTGATCCCGATATAGAACCGGAGTTCGACAAAGCTGGCATCATCGACACTACGCCCCACCTGGAACATCTAAAATGGTGGGAAGCTATATCCATCTGAAAGGCTAACCACCTGACCACATGTATAAACCGGAAAGATGAGATTAATCTTTCTATAGCGTGGCAGGCCCTCATAAATGACGATCTATAAATATCAACATCAGTGCACGAATGCGCATGACCGTCTTAATGGTTTTTCGTTATGCGAGTTTCAGATTTTTTGTTTAAACATCTGCATTCTATTTTTAGATTCGGTTTTTTATTTAAATATCTACATTCCATTTTTCCAAGTGTTCCGTTGGAATTTTTTCTCTACCTGAAGAAGAGCTATCTTGACAGCTCGAAAACGTTTGTGAAAGGAAGATTTTTTTCACGCAAAATTACACCAGTAACAGGTTCTGTATTTAATATTTCATTCCCGGTGTCAGAGTGAAGTTAATTTACAAGTTTCCTTATTGTATTTAAACTGCTACCTAATGGTAATGATGAAATAAATCTACTAAGGGGCTTCTGGGGTCTATAGAATACCATTAATTGATATAAGATTTAACACTCACTTAGACTCTGATAGATTGTTAACTATCAGAATTAAAGATCATGTATGCAACATTCAGAAATGGAGGTACTGTACTGGCCCAATTTATGAGTGAGCCTGGGGTGAGGAGAGGCAAAAATAATACAAAGAATTTATGATGATCAAAACTCAGAACTGCTGAAGCTGTTGAAATTTAGACATTAAATCTGCTGCAAAAGCATTGCTTGCCATGGATTGAATTTTATGTTTGTCCCTTAAAAAATATGTTGTAATCTTTAATTTTGAAATATTTTTTAATTTTTGTTAACAGAACCAAGAAAGTAAGATATAAAAGAGGCAAAAGTATGGCAATTTGTCAAAAAATGACCCCCAAGATTTTTACATTTTTGACTTGGGATCTTGAAATGTCAAGAAATGCAAAAAAAAAACTTTGGGATTTATATGGTATGGATGTTTGTTTGTGTGGCATGATTTTGTTCATCCAATTTAAAACTTAATAACTCCTGTGCTTTTTGTTGAAAAGTTCTGAAATTCTGCAGGGAGGATTGTGTATTACAGGGATTGTTGCTATTAAATTTTGGTGGATTTAAATCATAATTAAAAATATGAAAAATTTTCTATAACGAAATCTTATAACCGATGGCATCACAAACAGTTTTAAATGTTGCTGGGAAAGTTAAGCAACTTGTTGCTCAATTTTTGAAATATGTTTTAAAAACTTTTATTTAACATCATTGAAGTGTAGAATGCTTCATATTTTGAATATTTATGTTTGTTCAGATTTTTGTGAAAAGTTCATCGAAAAAATTCTTTTATTGAATGTACGGTACAAGTTCATTTAAAGGGTGTAAAAAAGTTCTTGTAATCTGAGGAGAACCATTAAACTTGCTGAAAACATTTGTTTTCTTCCATCAGGAGTCACAGCAGTGACTCCCCGACAAGTGAAAAAGTCACTGACTGACTACATATACAGGAATCAGAGTTGCTGATTTTTGGGGGTCAATTTCGCTGCTCCCAAATATCTGAAGTAATTCTGAATATCTCATTCAAAAGAAAATTGTTTTCTTAGGTAGTGTGCAAAATCAAGATTTTCTGTAATGCAGTTGCCAAAATATAAGCAATTGAAAGGTGCAAAAATCATCACAAAACTGTATTTTCTTTTCCTTTTTTTTTTTCATCCAGCACTGCAGATGCTTGTAGAGAAAAACTACTTAGAAAGTCCAAATTTTAAAGTTATCTCTAATTATTTTAAATATTTAAATATTTTCTCTAAATTATTTTAAACTTAAATTTTTAACTTTATTAGAAAGTTCAAATTTTAAATTTCAAGTCTTTCTCATTATCAGTGAGATGGGAGTTTGCAGGAGTTACCCATAGAGCTAATTCAGTTTTACATCTTAATTTTATGCTTACAAAGATAAAATTTCATGGAAACAAATGAGTTTTGTTCAAAATTTTTCTTAGAATTACAAAAGTTCAAATTTATGCCAATTAAAACTTTTTATAATGATTTTTCTAAATGGCATATCAAAAGTCCTGGTTGGCAGCATGTTTGATTTGCAGTGTGTTGGTCAGCAACACATTCAGATGGGAGTGCATTTGGTCTATGGCACATTCAATCACCTAGTGCCGGCCGAATTGTACATCATCATCTTGTGTCTTGACATAATAATACAATTATTAAACAAAAACAATTGATATCCAAACAAAAGCATCTGAGATGTAAAAAAAATTATGCTAAGTAAAAATTTATGACAATTTAGATAATGGTCAAAATTTTTCTTAACAGTTTTCTTGGTAAAGATAAGCTTGGTGCTTGGAGGTGGTACCCACAAGATTTTTACCTGTATTATTGTTTTCTACATTTTACCTCCAAGTGCCAAATTTATCTTTACCTAAGAAAAATTTTGATCGTTATCTAAATTGTCATAAATTTTTATATGATGTAATTTTTTACATCTCAGATGGTTTTGTTTGGATTTATCTAATGTTTATTAAATATTGGTGCTGGAAATAGGACATAAAAGTATCTGTGTGATGTATGTTGAACTGTTCTAGCTTTTAGGCATTATCTTCTAAATAAGACAAGTCTACTGTGAATAGAATATAGTAATTAAATGTTTAGTCTGAGATAATTGGTATTTTTTTATTAACTTAATAACTAGATTTGCTATATATACTGTATATATGAAGTATTAATGTATGCATATCTGTTTTATATTGTATGATATCTTAAATTAATTTGTTGTCATTTTATATTTTTCAGCATAATGCTTTAGTTGCTATTACTCCAGCAACATTAGATATTCTGTATTATTTATTGTCTGATTTATTAATTCCATCTAAAGCAAAAGAAGTGGTGCTTCAATGTTTTAGTGAAATTGTTCATATTTTATGTATCTGCAGGACAGATCAAGTATGTTATTTGATTCAAATAATTTTTAAACATATCTCATTAATAAGATTTAGATAATTATATTAATATGAATTAATAAATTAGAATTTGAAGATATATATACATCTTCAAATTGCTGTTTTTAATATATATATATTAAAAACAGCAATTTAATGAATTTAGTTTATATTATTTGTAATATGTTAAAATACATTTAAAATGGAACTGATTGGTAGTGTCAGCATTGTTGGAATTGCTGATAAGCTTGATTGTATCACTTTGTATGTTGACTATTCCTCTCCAATAATGATTTCTTGATATACAGTTGTATGTACACCAGTGGATCGTTGTGATAAGCTTCTGAATATAAGTTCTTAAGGATCTTTTGATGATGATATGCCAAGGTGATCCCATAGGATTATAACTTTGTCTGTTTAAAATTATGTTAAATATCAGACAAAAAACTAGCACAAGTAAACTGGAACTATATACTAAACACAACAATTAACACCTAAATGCTAATTCCAGCACTGAATGAACAAAAAATTTTAATGCTCGAACGTTTTCAGCCATCTTTTAGAGGCCCTACTCAGGATGAAAACGTTCGAGCATTAAAATTTTTTGTTCATTCAGTGCTGGAATTAACATTTAGGTGTTAATTGTTGTGTTTATGTTAAATACACAAAAGTATTGATAAACATTGATATGGTCCATAATTTGTTGAATCATTGGATCTGTTTGTTGATGTTGCCAGTCTGTGGTTATAATGGTACTGTTTACTAATTTTTATGTCTGTGTGACTTCTTTGTAAATTGGATTGCATTGAAGAGCATTTCTGTTGAGATGTTTGTGGCCAAACTTATATACTACAGTGATGTCATATTCCTGTAGCCACAGAGTCTATTGAGTGATTCATCCAGAAGGATCTTGAAGATTTGTAAGCCAGCATAGAGAACAGTCAGTTGCCTCTTGAAAGGGATGCCCATAAACATCTAAACTTCTTAATAACTCAAATGATTGCCAGACACGCTCCTTTTCCATCATTGAGTAATTTTTCTTGTTTTTTTGTAACGTATAACTGGCATAAGTTATTATCATAGATTGGTCTCCCTGATTCTGAATCAGAACTGTGCTTAGACCATAGTCATTTACATCAGTATGTAATTTGGTTTGTGCTTCATGGTCAAAATAGCTCAAAATGTATTCTGAAGGCAAGTCCATTTTTAATCAATTGAATGCCTCCTGCTGTTCATGTTTCTAATAAAATTTTATATTTTTTTTCAATAAATTTGATAGGGTTTTAGCTCTTTCTGAGAAATGCTGAATGAACTATCAATAGTATGAAGACAAACTCAGAAAATTTTGGACTTGTTTTAGGTTGGTTGGAATAGAGAATTTTTTAATGACCCTTAGTTCATTGGGATCAGGTTGTATTCCCATTGTATTGATGAGATGGCCTAAAGTGCATAAATCTTGTATCCCAAAATGACACTTGTTGATTTTGCTGTAATCCTGTCTGCTGAAAACATCCAATATAATTGCAAGGAAATGAAGGTGTTTTGTAAACATTAGAGCTAAAATGACAACATAGTCCAAGTAGCAGAGGCAAATGTTCTATTTTAATCCCAAAGACATTGTCCATAAGATGTTTGAATGAATAATCCATCAGTTATAACAAAGGCAGATTTTCCTGCTCTCCTGTTTGTCAACTTCCATCTGCCAATATCCAAATCTTAAGTTTGTTGATAAGTAGAATTGTGCTCCTTGCAAATGGAGCACAATTCTACTTTCCATCTTGAGGTAATGGATTGTGAAGTGTGCAAACACTATAGACAAAGAAACTCAACTTTTATAATATAAGAGTCTAATTCACATACAGAATACAGGAAATCTTTATCATATGCCTGCTATACAATCTCTATCCCTGAACTGATTACACTATTATAGTAACTAAAATTTAACAACATAAGTTATATATCGCAACAATTCTTCCTTATTTGAATTACTAGTCTACCAATAGAAAATACAATTATATATCTTACAACTAAACTTACAGCTAATTATTATCTACTTAAAATGAAATATAGATTTAAGACAAGAAAGAGAGTGAAAAATAAAAATGAGAGAAAAATCGGGTACCCAATGATTTTGGTGTTGTTCACAGTGATATTTGTAAGTTGAATGAACCTCTCTATTCACTGCGAATATAAACCACTTTCCTCAGGAATTTTATTAAGCTATACACACTGGAACAAACAAAAACACCCTTCACAGTTTTTGCTATCCTAGTTTTCCTTTTTCCCTCAAATTTTTTTTTCGTCTCCACGCGGTTCCAAAACAAAAATGCTGGAGGACTCTCTTCACGTGTCCTTTCCTCTCCCATTCTACACCAAAGAATGAATTCATGGTCACCTGAAGGTCGCACACCTTCCGATTGTTACTAGGGGATCACCTGCTGTTACGCTGTTAAACACAAGTCGGGAGAAAATTCCAGAAGGAAAGACAATAGACACGAAGACAAAGAAAATATATTCAAATATAAACTACGACTCTACAATTATGGCACATAGCCACAGGATAAATGTTCTTTTTTGTAACTGAGTTTAATCTTTTATAATCAACACAAAATCTCCAGCTTTCATCATGTTTCCTTATTAAAACTACTGGAGAAGACCAATGACTTAAGGATGATTAGATTACACTTTGTCTCAACATTTTATCAATTTCTTTGTTGATGATTTGTTGTTTCTCAAGAGACACTCAATAAGGATTCTGTTGGGTGGGTTGATGATTGCTCATCTGAATTCAATACTTTACTCTTGCATATAACATCCTGGAAGCAAATCAGGAGTGAATAGCCTCTTGTACTTCTACAATAAGCAAATAGTTCATCTGACTGTTTTGAACTTGAAAACTGCATTAATTAGTGATTGTAATAGTTGTCATTTCTCATCTTTGTTTCTATCTCTGACTTCTTATTCATGCAAGTGACAATTTGAATGTTCATTTTTGGTTCCATTTTCCCTAAACAGATTCTGGCAACTAATTTGTAAGACCTGTAGGATAGGGTTGCTACTGGTCACCCAAGCCTTGAGAGTTTCATCATCAAATGGTATTAGGCATATCTAATCCTCATTTCAAAATTAGATAATGGCAACCTTTGACTATTTCAGAAATGGAACAAAGTACAGTACATCATGGACAATAGGTATGGCCATGGTGTTAAATCCAGGAAGTCAAGTGTAAGAATAGTTGGCATAGAGATACTCAATAACAGTGTGATTCCTTGACCTGCAACTGAATAAGTTGATTCCAATAATCAATAAGAGAGGCAGTTCTTTCTAAAAAATCTTGACACAATATCAAATCTTGACTACTACATTCCAGGACCAAAAGCTCCATGGAATTGTTAAGGACTCAACTTGTATTCTAGCAATACATTATCCAAGAACATATATCATTAGTCTACCCATGCTTGTAACAGCTAATGAAGTTGGAGTCAATACTTTATATAACTTACTGTGACGAGCATCTGACATTACTGAAATGACCACTCCTGTATCTACAAGTGTTT